CCAGTAATAACACGCCCAGACGAAAATCAAAACCGCAGCCGCCACGAATACCAACTCATAACTCCATCCATCAAAAGGCTCTCAACATCGCTATTTCCAAACCCCCTTTATCAATCAGCCTTAACCCAAATTTCAAACCAACAACCTCACCCCATTTTCAGATCACACAGACCGTCGCCGTTTCCACTCGCGACGCCCTCCGTCCCTCAGAACCTGTTTTAAAGAAAAAAAACTGCAGAAAAATCTCTATCTCCAAAACCACAAACCCTCCAACTCCCATCAGTGACTCGCCTCTGAAAACTCACTCGCCAGACCTACAAACAACATAAAACCCCCAAATCATTAACCCATTTTGACCAAAACGAAATCAAAACGCGTTAAGATCCAAACCTGATCCATGAATCCAAACGAAATTGATTGAGAGGGGCGGATCAGGATCTGTTAAGAAGCTGAGGGCAAAATTCCGGCACCGTGTGTACTACGAGTGGGATAACGATGAGTCTGAGCGCTTTTCTTCTCCATTTTTTTCGATTCATATTGTTTCTTTTTAGTTCCAAGTTTGTCTTGTCCTTTTCTGGTTTACTCTGGTCTGTAGCTTTAGGCTTCTAAGTTCAACGGTGTCTCATTTGGGTTGCTGTCTTCACTCACCGGATTTCCAAATAAACCCCCCGTTTTTTCCTTTTTTCAATTAATTAATTTGTTTTTTTAAACAGCATTTTATAATATTAGATCATTATCTTTACTTTTTTTATTTATTTAAAACAGTATTTTATAATATTAGATTATTAATATTTTATTTTTTATATAACAGCTTTTAATTTAGAGTTGTATGTATTATTATTTTCTTTTTCTTTGTATATTCAAATTTCTTTTAGAATTTTATAACTATTTTATATTAGGATTTTAGATTGTTTTCCTTTTAGATGTTGGATCTGAGACCACCCCTTTTCTCTCTTCATTACTTGTCCCGACTCGATTCAAAAACTTTGTCAAACAATTTTCAAAATCAAATTATCTTTGTATTGAATTAAAAAGAGGGGATTAAGTGTAGACTTTCTTCCTCTCCGAGTGTTGGGATGCCCACTGTAGTGAGGGTGGTTCCGACACTCGTCTTTCAATGCGAAGACGCTTCCCGTCCATTTTCAAATCTCATCTCCTTAAAATCATTTCTTTGTGTTGAGCTAAAAAGAGGATTGGGTGTAGACCCCTTCTTCTTCGAGCGTAGGGATGCCCACTGTAGTGAGGGTGGTCTCGATGCTCGTCTGTCAATACAAAGACGCTTCCAACATTTCCTCATAAAACTTCGGTCTCGCACTGAGTATACTTTCAATAATAAATTAATTTCTCTTTGTATCTAATTAAAGAGAGAAGATTGGGTGTAGACCTCTTCTTCTCCGAGTGATGGGATGCCCACTGTAGTGAGGGTGGTCTCGACACTCGTCTATTGATACGAAGACGCGCTTTTATCCACCATCTCACTTTCACAACTTCATCCCGCAACCTTTGTCACCTAAAAAACCTCGGTCCCGCACCGAGTGCATTTCAAATTATTTTCACAACAAAAAAAACTTGAATGGTCGTGGAGTGGTTAGGCGTAGGCTTTCTCCTATCCCGAGTGCTGACGTTTACCGTAGGGTTCTCTGTCGTAAAGCACTTACCAATCAAAACCAAAAAGCATCTTTAATAAGAGAATGAAGCTCCCTTTGTATTGGATTAAAGAGAGAGGATTGAGTGTAGTCTTCTTCCTCTCCGAGTGTCAGGATACTCACTGTAGTGTGTGTGGTCTTGATACTCGTCTTTCAATACAAAGACGCTATGTTCGCCACACATTTTTACAACAAAAACTTTGAGACAATGAATTGGGTACTACCCGTAGGGGTTACTATCCGAGGACATGTCTCGCCCCTAAAAAACAATTCAACCAATCAAACATGATACCTTGCCTCGCATGGCGAAAACCAGTCTCCCAAAGGATATGTTACGTCCGTTCTACCGCAAACAGGTACGCATAAGTCTCCAAACGAGTGAGCAGCAAAACACCTAAACTGTTAGAACGCGTACGATAACATCATCCACAAAACACACCGGTTATCCGCACCGTAGGCACGAACTACGTTGCTCTGATTTCTCTTGCATGTTGAGAATACGTAGGCATAGGATTGCAATATCCTAGCGAGCACCCTTTTTCTTTTTCACCCTTTCCCAGAAAGGCATGCTACGTCCGTTCTACCGCAAACAGGTAACGCCTAAGTCTCCAACGAGCGAGCAACAATACACCTAACTGCTAGAATGCGCACGATAGCAGCGTCTACCAAGATTTCCCCGCACACCGTAGGCCGAACTACGGCTGCTCTGATTCTTTACTTCTTTTAAGTAAAGATACGTAGGCACAAGGGCCACAATCCTTGCCGAGCACAATCCCCTCTATTATCCGTAGCCTCGAACTACGTCGACTCTGACTTTCTCATACCTATTGAGAATACGTAGGCCTAGGACCGCGAAGTCCTATCGAGTTTGTTCTTTCTCTTTTCTTCCTCGTTCTCTCTTTCCTCCTAACTTTTTGTTTCTAACCCTTCTTTTACCCCGTGGAACACTTTTATAGCATAATATTTAAGCAAATAAATTCACACGTCGACAAACAAATGGTTCCCATCGAGTACGATGGATGCGAGGGGTGCTAATACCTTCCCCTTGCATAACCGGCTTCCGAATCCATTCTTGGTTGCGAGACCATCTTATCCATTCTTTTCTTAAGGTTTTCTCGATATTTTCCTTTCCCCTCATGGGACAAATAAAGTTCGGTGGCGACTCTTCTGTCTATCTTTTTCGCCTCCCCGTCGTTGCGCGATGCATTTTTCGAGTAGCGACACTCGTTATTTTGGTCGCATGCTTAGGTATTGATTGTTGCCTGATTTGTAATATGTAATTTGGAAAGATGCAGGATCTTTATATGTAATTGTATCACTTTGATAGTTTGATATAATTTGAATATTTTCTTTCATCTAGAAAAAAGATATAATCTTAATCCTGATTGAATATTACTGTTATCCCTTGCAATAGTCATCTGCAAGTCTTATTATGTGTTACAGTTGAGTAAGACATGGACAAATACAAAGGAGTTTTCAATGAAGGCAGTTGCCCACCCCAAAATTGCAATTACAATCCCTTAATCACTGCATTCGTTGCGATGTGTCTTGATTTTTCAGCATTTCATGATGTTTTTCCTTCATCTTCGTTTTCCTCAGTTTAGCTCGCCAGTGTGCCCAACTTTGGTTGAAGACCAGAGAGATGCATGGCTACCCCCTTAGTTTCATCTCCGAACCTGATCATTCTGTAATGCTAAAGGATGTTTTGGAGGCCACATGTGAAAAGGTTAGTTTTCATATATGGGTCACTTCGATGCTGCAAATGTTTTGGAAATGATATTGCTGTTTTTCTTAAACAATTTTATCTTGATTCATTCATAATCTTCCATATTTTTGGTCAAGTGTCAGTAAAAATTTGATTAAGAGTGCAATTACAATCCCTTAATCACTACATGCAAGTTGGAATTTTATTCGAGTCTTTATGACAATTTGGTGAAATCAATGAGTAACTTTACAAGTGATACTCGTATTTTTCTTGAGAAATAAAGAAGATCATTGTTGTCCACAAACTGCAATAAAAAAATTGAATTGTTAAAAGATTGTATCATTGAGGATCATCTTAAGTATGGAGAATATGTTAACAGATTGTCTTCGCAAATGTTGAATCAGAATAACTCTATGATGATGAACATTCCTAACACAAGCTATGAGGCAGGTCTTGAATTGGCCGTCCAATCTTCTGGTATAGCAAACCAGGTAATCAGTACTATCTCTGCTCTTATTATAAGCTTATCTACTAGCATAAATGTTGTCTATTAATTGATTATGCTATAAGCGGTTCATTAAGTTGTTTATCCAAACAATTTTTTACTAAACAAATTACAATGATGTAACTAACAGGAATTTGCTTTAAGCGGTTCATTAAGTTGTTTATCCATACAATCTATACATAAACAATACACAATCGCTTGGAAAACATAATGAGGAAGGGAAGGTTTGTTGTTACCATGTCCAAGACATTGCAAACTGAATCTCCCTTGATAATTTCAGCGTTCTGTAACTACCAGCTTGGAAAACATAATGAGGAAGGGAAGGTTTGTTGTTACCATGTCCAAGACATTGCAAACTGAATCTTCCTTGATAATTTCAGCGTTCTGTAACTACCAGCTTTAGCTTTGGCTAAAGAGAGAAGAAAACTTCTTGAACTTCAGCAAAACCAAATTAAGATAACTCTCATTAATAGTTTTTTACACAATAATTAACAATACTAAAAAGTAATATCGGTAAAAAAAGTAATTAAAATAATAACAAACTTAAAACAGAACATGATTAACACAACGAAAATCAAATGGTTAATTAGTCAAAAATATAGATAATAATCAGAGGCGGAAATTTACCTGTAAGGATCTTTGATAACATCGGAAGTAAACGGTGCTAAGAGTGGTGCAGATCGATTTTCGTTACTCATTTTCTCGGTAAAATTCTCACTCACGAAATGCAAGAAGCCTTCTAAGAATCGGTACAGTATTGTTGAAGCAGAGAAACTAAACTACAGTAGACGTATCAAGATCAAGAAGAAGGTCCGATCCAAGACAAACTAAATGATAAAAAATAAATAATATAAAGTCATATTGTACATTTATTATTACATCTTTATCAATATTACTAGTTCATTTTTATAAATGAAAAATGAAAGTTATACATATTACTAATGTTTAAATATTTTTTTTTTAAAAATCAAACTATAAAATGGATACATTCTATTCACGAGCAGAACATGCGTACTCTCCGATTGTTCCTTCTGAGTTCTTCTCGCCGTCTGCAACGTTGTACCTATCAAACAAACAAACAGAAAACAAATTTTACCTATTTTTAATTTCCAACAACAAAACCCACCAAACCCTTTTGATCCCAATGGAACAAAAACAACCTCTAATAATCAGAGACAAAAACCAGATGAGAAACTGGTCAAGATCAATGAGATCCCAATCTAAACTCATTGCTTTCGTTCCCACCATGGGTTACCTTCACCAAGGGCATCTTTCTCTCATCACCGAAGCTCACAAATACGCCAATGTTGTTGCAGTATCAATCTACGTCAACCCGGGTCAGTTCTCACCTAATGAAGATCTTTCCACTTACCCTTCTGATTTTGAAGGTGATGTTCAGAAGCTTTTGTCTGTTCCTGGTGGTGTTGAAGTTGTTTTTAATCCAAAGAATTTGTATGATTATGGAGAGAGTGAGGGTGGTGATGGTGTTGTTGTTGTTGGTGGTGGTGAGGTGGTGTCTTGTGTTGAGAAGAGTTGTTTGGGACATGAGAGTTGGGTTAGAGTTGAGAAACTTGAAAAGGGTCTTTGTGGGAAGAGTAGGTCTGTTTTCTTTTCTTTAGAGGCGTTGCTACTATTGTTGCTAAGTTGTTTAATATTGTTGAGCCTGATGTTGCTGTCTTTGGGAAAAAGGATTATCATCAATAGAGAGTTATTCAGAGAATGGTAATTGTTTTTAATACTTTTTAGATTTTTTCATGTTTGGATTGATGGAATAAGATGGTATAGAGTGATATGTGATGAAATGTAGTTAAACTCTACTATTTGAATTAGTTAAAATCGGATGGAGTGAAGCAGAATCGAGTGATATTAATTTCATTCTATTCCATCACTTACCATCATTATTTCTTAGTTATCAGTGGATGCTATCTCCAATTCTTCTGATTCGGTTATCAACTGATAACAACACCTCTGTCACTGCGATGTACCTTCAGCTTCTCTGTACCTTCAGCTTCTCTGATGGGCTGGGAAATGAAAATGGGCCTAAGAGCGAAACAAATAATAGAATCTTCAAGAGAAAAATTGGGAGAGGGAGAGAGGATTCTAGAACTAGGAAGTTAGAGGGAAAATGATGAATATAAGGGTAAAATGTAACCAAAGATCTTTCTTAAATTCTACACCTATTATTGTTGTGGGATGTTGGTTTTAATAGATTTTCCTTAAATTCTACAACTATTGTTGTTGTGGGATGTTGGTTTTAATAGATTGACTGATTCTTTTTCGCAGGTTCGCGATCTTGATTTTTCCATAAAAGTGATAGGTTGTGAAATAACAAGGGAAAACGATGGCCTAGCAATGAGTTCACGCAATGTACATCTTTCATCTGAAGTGAGGGAAAAGGTTTATTTTAAGCTTTACTATGCCTTAATCCATTGTTTGTATTATTTGTCGTTCTCTCTACAACTAGGTAACACTTTCAAATCCTTTTGCAGGCACTATCTATAAACAAATCCTTATCAAAAGCCAAGTCAGCCGCAGAAGACGGTCAGATACAATATGAGAAATTGAGGAACTTAGTCATCCAATGCAATACTGACGCCGGGGGAAGAATCAACTATGCTGAGGTCAGATGTTAATATTTCTGGAGTATAATCAAATCTTCGCTTAAACCTTCTCTAAAAGCACATAATTTTACAATCCTCCTAAACTATTTACATTGCTTCCATAGTTTATTTTCAACCTAAGAGCACAAAATTCATGAATATCAAGTTATTTTGATGATATTTTCATGCAAATTGTTGATCAACAGAGTCTACAGAAAGTGGAGTTGATCAAAAGTCCTGTTGTGTTCTGTGTTGCTGCATTGTTTGGGAAGGTCAGACTTATAGACAATATGGAAATCAACTTATAATTTAATCTAACCTTCTTTGTCATCATATATATACATGGAGCACATAGCTATTGGTTAGTAGTTCTAGCAGTTCATAGAGTACAAAACATAAGGGATATTTTTCTACAATTTATGGATGAGATGCATTTAACCGTCTCGCGAAGTTCTACGAGAGTTGCTATACAGAATTAGACTAAATGCTGAATAACAACTTCATGACAGTAGAGGAGTGGATTGAAGTTTAGTGACTGCAAAACTTGGGATTGAATAATTTAGACCGCGCTCTGTTTCCTGAGTATTTATTCTATTTCAATATTTTGGCATGCAAAACACAAAGGATAGCACAAGCTACAAGCCATGTGGTTTGTTGTACAATTGAAATATCACGTACTTTTGAAGTGTAGTGTTAATCAGTATTTTTTTCTGTTTGAAATATACTTCTAAACAACCAATTTCTTTTTGTCTTTTTAGAATATTGTTGATTGGAATATACGATTTTACTAACAAATGAACGCGATGATTATTCTAGGATTCAATTTTAAAAAGACATTTGTTTTTAGAATCTTCTTCACTAAAATAATGATTATAAGCACTTCTCTTTTAATGCTAGACACCTATCTTAAGATTGACTTCGAGGATAAATGCAACTCGCTAGGTTGGTATAAACTCCAAACTCTAGTTAAAAGGAAACACTTCAATCACAATAAATATTTCTCACTAACATTCATCAATCAAGAATTCTTCGAGTCATCATTTGGACAAAACCATTAATCAATCTAAACATATAACTTTGGCTAATATTCTTTCATTAAGCATTTTTCATGATATTAAAATGCATGGATGTTTATATTCAAATTCTTATTTGAGTATTTTTTTTAGTGTCAAATTCACATTTAGTGATCTTGAAACATTTTGAACTTGTAGATACAAAATTGTTTGCTTTTAAACTTGACAAGCTAAATGGGGGCAATACAAAATTGTCTCCTAAGCACGAGGCGTGTAGATATTGACCAAGAATGAACCCAACAGACATAGGTAGGTATGGGCATATCGATCCGTCAAGCACGAGATATGTAAAGGCAAAAGTGCCCGTCACACATATGCATTAAATTGCATCATATTTCTTATAAATAGAGATAGATATAACTAAAATAAAGTGGCCTGATAATTAAAATAGACACCAACCATCAATACTTAAATTTTAATCCATACCGATTCTGAGATCAGTTTTTTTTTTTATATTTAAAAAAGTAAAATCTACCTAGTTTTCAATTCAAATGTCAGAACGGTGCCAGTCCAACTTTTTCAATAACAAAAGTGAAAACCCAAACTGTCTGCTTTAAGAATATCACAAATCAAAATGCAGGGCTGAAAACCCAAACTGTCTGCTTTAAGAATATCACAAATCAAAATGCAGGGCTGACCGAAGATGGACAGTGTAAACACACATAATAGAGAATATGAAACTTAACTAAGAAATGGCTGGTTTCTAATAGAGAAAACATCATAATCCTCACACAATGCTGAAACAAACTCCCACCTAAATTATATAGAGAAGAACAGATTAGCACTACATTATGGGAGACAAAATGGTGAAGTGAATACTAATAAAGCATTGCACACTATACAAGCAATGTCATATAATACTGATGACTATAATATATGTAGGAAGAATGTAAATCCCAAAAGCCATTTTTTCCATTATTTTTATCAAGTGGTCATATTTAAAGTAGTTTAATCAGTTGATGTTTGACATATGGAATTCTTTATATCATTTATCCATTTTGGCAGGTTTTGGACTGCGGGGGAAAATTGAGCTTTTAGTTGATAAGACAGAAAACCTTCGCTCTCAAGTGTGTTGGTTGCTATAGTTTCATTTTGTATATTAATAAACTATTAAGTAAAATCTTATAAAACTGCAAGATAATAGATTGCTAGTGTTGGTTGCTATAGTTTCATTTTGTATATTAATAAACTATTAAGTAAAATCTTATAAAACTGCAAGAAAATAGATTGCTATGGATGGTCCAAAGTTGCCCCTGCCACCTTCCTTAAAACTCAATGTTTTAATGTTTTTAGCTGTCAAAAAGTATTTAAGTAATATGCATATACAATCTGAGATTTGAATATGAAATTGTTGATATTCACTCTATATGATAAGTAATCTTCAATCATGAAAGATTGTTTTGGATAAATGCTATGAAGACCTAGATATATACCTGTGTAGTTAATAGGCAACAAGATTTTCCTAAACAAATATTATATTTAATGATGAATGTCTTAGCTACATGGAATATTGTAATTGGTATGCGCTGTTATTTTTTAGTTTTACCTTATCATAACAAGGCATAAAAGTAAATATTGTTGTTTGTTGAGTACTAGTAACATAGGTAAAACTGTAAAGCAAATTTGCTGAAGTTCCTGTTGACATGCATATATATGTGTAAATACAACTCATTAGTAAATCAAACCTGTCTATATCTAATAATTATGATATCGCAGTATCATTAAATTTAATAAGATTGTGTAAACTAGTATATTTCAGATATGGTACTGTTTTTGTTTTTTCACCTCCAAACAATGAATTTGGTTCGCATTGTGCTTGGAGGTATTGTTTTTTCACAATCTATTATCTTGCAGTTTTATAAGATTTTTACTTAATAGTTTATTAATATACAAAATGAAACTATAGAAACCAACACACCTGAGAGCGAAGGTTCTCTGTCTTGTCAACTATAGAAATATGGAAATGTTTTATATATTATGTAAAGAATACATAAGAGGTATTTATAGACTATACATCTATCTAAATAAGGGTGTAATTATTCTCCCTATAAATGCTAATTATTCATAATAAATTGTATAGGATGGCAGCTCATAATGAGCTGTATGATATTCAACATATTCAACATATTCTAATAATAATAATACTAATATTACAACACCCCTTCAAGACCACTGTGTAGAAATAAGGGAGTCCTTTGGTGAGCACATCAGCTAACTGGAGTCTTGATGGGACGTACTGTGTAGAAATAAGACCACTATTCAATTTCTCTTTGATGAAGTGTCGGTCTATCTCTATATGCTTTGTTCTGTCGTGTTGGACCGGATTGTGAGCAATACTAATAGCAGACTTATTATCACAGAAAAGTCTCATAGGAGCTTCATATTTTATTTTCAAGTCATCTAGAATGATCTTCATCCATAACAATTCACAAACTCCTGTAGACGTATCAAGATCAAGAAGAAGAAGGTCTGATCCAAGACAAACTAAATGATAAAAAATAAATAATATAAAGTCATACTGTACATTTATTATTACATCGATATCAATACTACTAGTTCATTTTTATAAATGAAAAATGAAAGTTATACATATTACTAATGCTTAAATAATTTTTTTTTTTTAAAATCAAACTATAAAATAGATACATTCAATTCGCGAACAGAACATCCGTACTCTCCGATTGTTCCTTCAGAGTTTTTCTTGCCGTCAGCAAAGTTGTACCTATCAAACAAACAAACAGAAAACGAATTTTTTACCTATTTTCAATTTTCAACAACAAAACCCACCAAACCCTTTTGATCCCAATGGAACAAAAACAACTTCTAATAATCAGAGACAAAAACCAGATGAGAAACTGGTCGAGATCAATGAGATCCCAATCCAAACTATTGCTTTTGTTTCCACCATGGGTTACCTTCACCAAGGGCATCATTCTCTCATCACCGAAGCTCACAAACACGCCAATGATTTTGCAGTATCAATCTATGTCAACCCGAGTCAATTCTCACCTAATGAAGATCTTTTCACTTACGCTTCTGATTTTTAAGGTGATGTTCAAAAGCTTTTGTCTGTTCCTGCTAGTGTTGAAGTTGTTTTTAATCCAAAGACTTTGTATGATTATGGGGAGAGTGAGGGTAATGGTGGTGGTGAAGTGGTGTTTTGTGTTGAGAAGAGTGGTTTGGGACATGAGAGTTGGGTTCGAGTTGAGAAACTTGAAAAGGATCTTTGTGGGAAGAGTGGGCCTCTTTTCTTTAGAAGTGTTGCTACTATTGTTGCTAAGTTGATTAATATTGTTGAGCCTGATGTTGCTGTCTTTGAGAAAAAGGATGATCAGCAACAGAGAGTTATTCAGAGAATGGTAATTGTTTTTAATACTTTTAGATTTTTTTTTCATGTTTGGATTGATGGAATAAGATGGTATAGAGTGATATGTGATGAAATGTAGTTAAAATCTACTATTTGAATTAGTTAAAATCAGATAGAGCGAAGCAGAATCGAGTAGTATCAATTTCATTCTATTCCATCACTTACCACCATCGTTTAAAATATCTTAAAATACCATTAAAGTTCTTCATCTCAAATTAGAGGGGAAGAAATAATGGTGGTAAGTGATGGAATAGAATGAAATTGATACCACTCGATTCTGCTTCGCTCCATCTGATTTTAACTAATTCAAATAGTAGAGTTTAACTACATTTCATCACATATCACTCTATACCATCTTATTCCATCAATCCAAACATGAAAAAAAATCTAAAAAGTATTAAAAACAATTATCATTCTCTGAATAACTCTCCGTTGCTGATCATCCTTTTTCCCAAAGACAGCAACATCAGGCTCGGCAATATTAATCAACTTAGCAACAATAGTAGCAACACCTCTAGAAAAACAGGTCTGCTCTTCCCACAAAAGCCCTTTTCAAGTTTCTCAACTCTCATGTCCCAAACCACTCTTCTCAACACAAGACACCACCTCACCACCCTCACTCTCCCCATAATCATACAAATTCTTTGGATTAAAAACAACTTCAACACCACTAGGAACAGACAAAAGCTTCTGAACATCACTTTCAAAATCAAAAGGGTAAGTGGAAAGATCTTCATTAGGTGAGAACTGACCCGAGTTGACGTAAATTGATACTGCAACAATATTGGCGTGTTTGTGAGCTTCGGTGGTGATGAGATAAAGATGCCGTTGGTGAAGGTAACCCATGGTGAGAACGAAAGCAATGAGT